CATTGACTGCTGTCGACATTCCAGCACAACGTGCAGCATTGCACCCATTCCTATGGCCAAAGCAGGTGTTATGTTCAAAGGATAAAAAAGCAGCTAGAACAAAATTAACTGAATTACTTTTTCATCAAATGTTATGCGAAAGCTGCGTAAGCTCATAAACAAACAAAATTTGAAACATTAAAATAATATGATAGAAAACACATGATATGCCTGCATACCACAATGTAAAGCTATATCTTTATGAGAAACAGTGAAAACGCTATAACTCTGTACAAACCTTGAAAATATAGAGAAATGCTACAAAGCAGTAAAGTCATGGAAAAAAAACGAAGTGATATAAACAGTAGAGCCCTGGAAAGTAAGAAAAATACATATAGAAAGGTAAAGTCTTGAAAAGTAAATAAACTCTTGAAATGTATTTTTAAAGAATATCTTGACGTTTGTTTGTTGTGAATTTCGCGCAAAGCTACACAAGGGCTATCTCCTCTTAGCCGTACCTAATTTAGGAGTGTAAGACTAGAGGGAAGTCATCATCACCCACCGCCAACTCTTGGGCTGCTCTTTTACCAACGAATAGTGGGATTGACAGTCACATTATAACGCCCCACGGCTGAAAGGGCAACAATTGGTTAAGTTCGAGGGCTTCTGTAGTCCATATTTGCTTAAAGCATTCCACCTAACTAAATATAGTCACAAAAACTCCAATCATCACATTGTTGTATAAATGGTATTTGAAACCTAGTCTCGAATATCAATAGATTTTTCACAGTTTAATAGTTTAAGATAAAAAGATACAGTAAACCAAGCACAGAGTTATTTTAACTATAATACTAAAATTTTTATCTTCATGCAGTGCTTTGAACAGTTCTATACAGTAGTAAATTTACCATCTTTCGGTTCATTAACACAGCACAAATACCGTAAATATACTTTTAGGGCCAGCGTTTAACTTCCAAACATTTATTGGATACTAGACCACCGTGACCAGTTGGGTCACCCACTATTCAGAGGTTATGAAGAATTCAAGCTAATTTCAATATTGCACCGAAATGAAGGTTTATTTTGAGATAATTTAATTAAATATTTTAATCCATTCGTGTTATTCATAATTCAAGAAAAGATATTTGATTGTTGATCGGGAGTAAAAGGAAAGACCATTTCATTTTTCAAAAAGTGAAGTAAGAAGTTTCGTAAAGAGTTCGTACGGTAGTGTGATGTAAAATTACTCATGCTAGAAATTTTCATAAAAGTGACCCGAAAAACGGTTCTAACTCGGTAACCCGTGGCCCGATTTTAACGAAACTTGTTTTATTCTGTTTCTATTCTCATTTCTTTACAAATATGGCGCTATTGTGGGCCCTTTATTTGCTGTATTTAATTACAGACAAGCAAATAAACAAACATTCTCAGAGTTTTAGTAGTATATAGATAGATTCTTCAAGATCTTGTTTTTGTCATCTTATGCCTTTTAATGAAGATGAGAACATTGACAAGGAAATAATACGATAGCCAATGCTCGGCGAGAGGTTTTCGTTTATAAAATTTTGTTGTTGTTCTCGACTTGATTTTTATCTTATTACCTCGTCTCCATAGTTACTATTTGCAAATAGTCAATAATATTGTAGGTCCATTTTATTGTTCTTTCTACGCGCCGTTATAACACATTTTCATCTCATCATTTAATTTCTGTTGTGCATATATTATTGTATAGAAGATATTTTAAATCAATTCATCAGCACGTTATTTCTCTTTCAGGCAATGTGTAGAGCTTCTCTCAACTAACACAAAACTTTCCGTAGGTGTATGTTGTTAGTTTAATAACCTTTTAGTGACTAGCCCTCTGGTATTACCAGCTAAGAATTGGTTAATAAAAAAATATATATAACTATTAATTTTATGTTCAGCCATAAACACAACAACGGTAATATTTGACAAGGCAGGCTAATAAAACAAACAAAAAGCACGATTTATTTTAATAATTAAAAAAGTCAAAAACACAAACAGAGTAGTGATAAAGCTGAGGCGTTAAATTTGTTGATTTTGACTCAATATTTTTTGGAGTAAAAATCTGATATTAACTGCACTCCCCTCTAGTGTGAAAATGAATCAACACGTATACATGTGTGTGTGTGTGTGTATGAATCAACTGAAATGAAAGATGCTTCTTTTAATACAAGTTTAATTTCAACAAACTGATTTTCAGAGATTTAAGCATATTTTATTGTTTAAGCTCATATAATCTGTCACCCATTTAAAAAGTCTAATTATTAATACACTTATTACACGTTATTTCATATATTATGGCAAAAACATGAAAAAACACGCACTCAAATCTCTAGTGGCTAGTGTTGTTATAGACAAAAAAGTATTCAAATTGTAGACTCTCAGCGAAATAAAAATCTTCTTATATAGTCAATAAGAAAATGCGTTTGATTTTATGAACTCTCCAAATAGTTCGGGAGATATAATCAGTGTTATTACACCGTAATTTCTTACTTTCCGCACGTATGTATAACATAAATTCAGAGATTATAACCTGTACAAAAACTAAAACGAGAAGCACATCAAGTTTTAGTTAAGGTTACAAAATTGCTAAATAAATTTAATTCGTCCTCAGTTTTACAATGCAGCTGATAACTCCAAGTAGTCAAGCAGAAGGATAAAAACAAACTGAAGTTATTAAAAAAAAAAACAGTTAGCTACAATAACCTTTTAATGTTACTTTTATACCCAATTTTTACGTTTAAGATGATAAAGAACACGAGTCTGCTATTATTAAAACATAGCCTTAATGAATAGTCACATTTTCATTTTTTAAATAAACAGTTAAATTGCAACTACAGATATTCACCGGCTCTTGCGTCATACATGTTAAATATTTGATTAAAACGTAAACAGCTGGGGCAAATTTATTAAAC